AAATAACTCCGTCTGGCACGTAAGAAAGAGAACGTCTGCACCAAAAACTTTAAAACAAGTACCGTAATATTGTAATGTGCAACAAGGATAAGAACGTCTGACCGATAAACGACGATCGTAAAAAATGTCGGACGAGTGGATTTCACAGGCATATCAGTCCATCCAACCTTTTCGACATACGCTGATCCGGTGTCACAGCGGATTTGGACCCCCCGCGGATTTGGACCGGGGGTTCAAATCCGCTAGCGGATATGGACCCCCCTACCAAACTTTCCTTTTAAGCATCCTTTGTATCATATTTGGTAACAAATTCTATTTGCAAGCTTTTTTGTTGATGTTCTTTTCAATGTCAACACAACATTTCCTCAATAAGGGTAAAAAAAAAACAAACAAAACAGCCATTTCGTTCCAGTTCTACCGCATCATTATAGCGAGTCGCACAGTATACGCAAGAATTAGATGTGAACAAACTACTGCATTCGAACTATTGAAATTGTTACAATAAATTTTTGCTTCTTCTGATGCGAATCAACATTGGTAAGAAACGTCATAACAATAGTGGAGACTATTGCGTCCAGTCACAAAAATAACTCAGTCTGATTTTCTAAAATAATAACCTTAACACCTTAACAATTACGAAGACGTCTAGAGTCTGGCAATCTGCAGACAATGCAGAGCCACTCGCCCTCCGCAGCTCATGTGTAACCTTTCCTCGCACAACTTGCACTGTACCATGTCGTCCCAACACTCGGGCATTGAACAATGACAAAATAAGTTGGTGTCACAAGTTTGTCTCTTATTGAATCTAGCGGTGTTCGACTATCGCGGAAAAGGTTCAAAAACGAGACCTCTCCAGACATTAAACTAAATTCTTGCCCATTTTCCCTTGGTCAAAAGAAACATCCGACGGAATGCCAGTTCGTATGCATTAACGATACGCATATTTTGAATTAAAAACATACTTTAGTACGCACTGGAACGTAAAGTATCATCCATTTTTACTAGAACGTTAAGGATGATGTTTTCACTCAGTTTTGTTGGGGGCTCCAAATCCGCGGAGGGGGTCCATATCCGCTAGCGGATTTGGACCGGGTGGTCCAAATATAGGGGGGTCCGAATACGCTGGGACACCGGCAAGTACTAAAACATGGAACGACCTATAACCACCTAAAACCACCTACAACCATCTACAACCACCTCAAAAATTTCAACAACGACCTACAACCACTCAAAAACATCTACAACAACACGCAAACTATCTAAAACCTAAAACCATCTAAAAAAAGGCATAAATGTCTTAACTAAGGCGAAACGACAATATGTCACGTACATGAAATACGAGAATCGAACGAAACCTCCACCTCCCCCTGAAATCTTACTCTCCCTGGTCCCATGTATAATCAACCATCTCACGAAATGAAATGCGAGAGCATGCCAATTATATTTTTTATTATCTCAGTGGTAAAAGACCTAAAGAACTTTACAAAATAAACTATCAAGTTACAAAAAATAATAAAGTAAAATAACAAACTCGTAGTCAAGACTGACTTGACTTAGCTTTTTCAACCCTGGGTACCAGCTGACGTTTTGGCTCACGTCTAGAAAAAGTACGAGTAAGAATGATCATAAGAAATATTTGAAGCGAACTGTGTGTACATTTGGAATCTTCCTTTGGCACGAACGCCATCGTGCTGGTATTCATACAGCATGCAGTTGCACGAGTGATGCCACTTACGCAATAGTGACTCACGTTTTGCTCCAATTACATTTCCATTGCTGAGATTATAAATGGAGAAAAACACTATCTTAGACCATTACGTAATCAAATGAAACGTGAGCTAAAACGTCTGCTAGTAAAGTTCTTTAGGTCTTTTACTACTGAGGTAATAAAAAATATAATTTCAATTCGTCAGATGGTTGATTATACATGGGACTAGGGAGAGTAAGATTTCAGGGGGAGGTGGAGGTTTCGTTCGATTCTCGTATTTCATGTACGTGACATGTCGTTTTGCCTTATACCCCATTCACACCAGCAAAACATGTTTTGTTAAACTGGTTTTCATTGAATGAAAATTATAAACAGAGAACTGAAAAACTTGATTTTCCATTGGATTCAAGTACTTGCTAACTTGCATTTCCAATGTGCTACATTCAAGTCAAAAATATTCGGTTAAATAGTTTCTATGAAGAAAAAAAAAATTAAACTGTGTTTAACAAAACAACTTTTAAACATGTTTAAGCTTTGGTGTGAATGGGGCATTAGTTAAGACATTTAGGCTTACACTATTTTGCGAAACGAAACGAAACGAAGCGAAACGAAATCAGGTGAGATAGAACAAAACTAAAGGAATAATGCAGATATATTTTCTAACAAGGTAAAGAAAACTTTCACAGGGAATTTGGAGTAATCGTTCATTAACAAGAAGGATTGTTATTCATTTCGCAAAATAGTAATTTTAGGAGCGTTACTATTTTGCGAAATGGACTATTTTCACCCTGCGGTGACTAACGTGACCTCTTCCATGTCATAAAAATACATTTAAACATTACAAATTAGTATATCAACGAAGATTTTGGCCTCCTCTTATTTCTTAAACCGTATTAAAATATATTTCGCAACGTAGTAATTTTAAGAGAGTTACTATTTTGCGTAATGTACTATTTCCACCCCTGCGGTGACAACGTGACCTCTTTCATGTCACGAAAATACATTTAAACATTACAAATTAGTATATCACCAAAGATTTTGGCCTCCTCTTATTTCTTAAACCGTATTTAAATATATTTCGCAAAATAGTAATTTTAGGAGAGTTACTATTTTGCGAAATGGACTATTTTCACCCTGCGGTGACAACGTGACCTCTTTCATGTCACGAAAACACATCAAACATTACAAATTAGTATATCACCGAAGATTTTGGCCTCCTCTCATTTCTTAAACCATATTAAAATATATTTCCCAAAATAGTAATTTTAGGAGAGTTTTTTTTTTGCGAAATGGACTATTTTCACCCCTGCGGTGACAACGTGACCTCTTTCATGTCACAAAATACATCTAAACTTTACAAATTAGTATATGACCGAACATTTTGGCCTCCTCTTATTTCTTAAACCGTTTCAAAATGTATTTCGCAAAATAGTATATTCTCGGAGGGTTCGGTCACCTCCTCTCTCACTATCCAGATATGATTAATTTTGCAAAGTAGTAATGTCAGAAAAATTACTGTTTTGTGGAATAGCTAGGCTATTTTCCCTCAGCGGTAACGATGTTGCTATTCTCGTGTCGTACAATAGGTTTTCGGTAAGTTTCAATTTAAAGCACTATCAAATCTCAAAAGATCTAAGCTATCTTCACCTTCTTAGTATATTTCGCGAGGTAGTAATCTTGGAAGTATTACTGTTTCGCAAAATGTACCATAAATGATTTAAATGCCGCCTGAGAAAACTGACTCGAGACAGATTGGGTTTACAGGTCTCGCCTTTCCTTTTACGTAAGTGTTTTAATTAGCTGTGGTCTGTACTTCTTCACTACCAAGCAGTGACACGAAAGAGGTCACGCTGTCGCCGCAGGGGTGAAAATAGTCCATTTCGCAAAATAGTAACTCTCCTAAAATTACTATTTTGCGAAATATATTTTAATACGGTTTAAGAAATAAGAGGAAGCCAAAATCTTCGTTGATATACTAATTTGTAATGTTTAAATGTATTTTCGTGACATGAAAGAGGTCACGTTGTCACCGCAGGGGTGAAAAGAGTCCATTTCGCAAAATAGTAACTCTCCTAAAATTACTATTTTGCGAAATATATTTTAATACGGTTTAAGATATAGGAAAAGGCCAAAACCTTCGGTGATATACTAATTTGTAATGTTTAAATGTATTTTCGTGACATGAAAGAGGTCACGTTGTCACCGCAGGGTGAAAATAGTCCATTTCGCAAAATAGTAACTCTCCTAAAATTACTATTTTGCGAAATACATTTTAATACGGTTTAAGAAATAAGAGGAGGCCAAAATCTTCGTTGATATACTAATTTGTAATGTTTAAATGTATTTTTATGACATGGAAGAGGTCACGTTAGTCACTGCAGGGTGAAAATAGTTTATTTCGCAAAATAGTAACGCTCCTAAAATTACTATTTGGCGAAATGAATAACAATCCTTCTTGTGAATGAACGATTACTCCAAATTCCTTGGGAAAGTTTTCTTTACCTTGTTAGAAAATATATCTGCATTATTCCTTTAGTTTTGTTCTATCTCACTTGATTTCGTTTCGCTTCGTTTCGTTTCGTTTCGCAAAATAGTATAAGCCAGACATTTATGCCTTCTTTTAGATAGTTTTAGATAGTTTGCGAGTGGCTGTAGATGTTTTTGAGGTGATTGTAGGTCATTGTTGAAATTTTTGAGGTGGTTGTAGATGGTTGTAGGTGGTTGTAGATGGTTTTAGGTGGTTTTAGGTCGCTCCATGTTCTAGTACTTACCACGCTGATCCACATATTCACAAGACTACCTTCCATAGGTGTAGAATGGCGATTCTTAGCTTACTAAAGAAGCTAATATAACTATCTTTGGTTCCGTTCTACACCTGGTTCGGTGAAAACGAACATAAATAATTGCTGGTAGAACCAAGTGAGCCAGCAATTTTTAATTAACAAACAGAACCTGCATTTTAAATGAACCGAGCGCTCTATCCATTACAACTGATTGCATCCATTTTTAATAATAGCAGATTATAAAACGACCACGATTGTTTCTTAAAACATATCAAAAACACCAGTTATAAACAGAGATTACTCCATGATGTAAAGTTTTTATTTCATACATACTGAGATTTCTTCCTACTGACCAACGCATTTCAAAGGCTAGAAGCAAACGACTGTGAAAATACATTGTTCGTCCAATCAGAGACACGAGCAAGATAATATTTCACAATGTCACTCTCAGTATGTATGAAATAAATACTATTTATCGCATCAATGTACAAAAACAGAAGCACCCAGCGAACTTGGCCAAAAATTTAATAATCTCTCTCCTGAATTCAAATAGACCACTGACATGACTAGAACAACCCTTCACATCATGATCCACATTAACAAAACAGAACATAACAGCTTTACATTTTCTAAGTCTAACAAAAGAATGAGCTGTGAGAATCCATCTGATCAGACTCGCAATCCACCCTCCATTCGAAGGTATCCTGACCGCTGACTACACATCAAGTAACATGCTCCAATCATTCCCAGCAGCTGTTGATAAAGGAGATGATTATAGGTTGTCTCCTACCTTCAAATTGAATAAATTGCTCCATATAAAATAAAGAACTAGCTGTGAGAAATCACACAACAAAATGAGAGTGAGTTAGCACCTCATGCTGTCAGCAAGACTTATGCTAAAAGTATATTTTATCTCATCCTATCATGCATAGCTAGGTTACTGGAAATCCCAAGAAAAATAATTTGCAAGGGTTTGGAAGAAAAAGTGAAACAACACTTTTACATCCAGAGGACAAGTTAGGTTGTGGTTCAGGTTGTGGTTCAGCCGAAAAAAAAAGTACCTTGAAGGGAAGGGGATATGAATATTGCATGGGATAAAAAAAACTCTCTCCCAACTATAAGAAAACCTGTTTTTAGAGATAATCATATACCAAAGTAAAATTCTATCCAAATCATACTTCAGGTAAAGTCAAAACAACTCATACTCTTTAATTCTCAATGAAATATTCACTCTGAATGGCAGTATTTCTGCCAATGTAATTGGTACTTACTTGAAGCACAGCCAGTCCAATACCTGACCCCATAATGTAACTAAGGTTGTCTTCAACTTCCTCAGTCAATTTTTTCAAGCAGCCCTACATACAATGTACAAATACCATAAATGATTAATAAGATTCCTTCTCACTAAGAAGCCCAGTTCTCTCCTGACTACCATTCCCCCTTAAACAACATCACCAAAATGATAGTAGTTGTTATACATAGAGGCTAGGTAGCTTTTCAACTCAAAAGCCTGTACCTGTTTCCTGTTTCCATTTTACTTTGTAGGTAGTAGATACTTAACCCTTTAATTCCCATAAGTGGCCAAGAAAGAATTTCTCCTAACAACCCACATCTGGAAGCCTTTGAAATGAATAAGTCACAGGGGGCATATAAGATTATTAATGGAATTCAGTGGTAAGTTTTTATTTTGTAAATAAGGCTGGAAGAGTTAGCCATAGCAGTACAAGTCACTCCTCTAGTTTTACCATCCTGAGGTATGTGGGTTGTATAAATCTTACTTCCTTGGTGGTTGCTGGAAGGTAGATGGAGACCAGAATTTGACAGTTGATGGGCAAGAAGGAAAGAGTTTATTACTGGTTTTTACCTTATCATATGCATTGAGTTGTGTACAAATCAATGTTGCTGGAGGACAGCAGGAATGAGGGTATTGGCCATAATGTTTCAAAGCATATGGAAACCAATCAGTAGGTTTCTCACTGCCACAACATTTCAGCTGCAAAACATAAATATTCAGTTTTGTTAACATAGCTGTACAGATGTCCGTTGTTTCACCAACGACTCACTCCGCCAACAGTTGTTTCACAAATGTCTCTAGTCAGTTTGCAAATGTGTAGAAGTCAGTTTGCAAACGTTTAGAGGTCAGTTTGCAAATGTTATAAACATTTATGTAGAAGTCAGTTCACACACTTCGTAGATTTGAGATGTCAACGTTTGAGCATAAAAACTAACTCTAGCTTAAGTTATACAGTCTTGTAGTTGATTTTGCTCTATCACAGCCTTTGCGTGATACAGACATGGGATAAAAATGCTGCCACCTTGGGATGAAATATTAACATGGCTGCTTAGTGACATAGGTGAAATGTTTATAACATTTGCAAGCTGACTTCTGAACATTTGTGAACTGACTTCTACACATTTGCAAACTGACCAGAGACGTTGGTGAAACAACTCGTTGGCGAAATGACCAGTTACTAGCTGTACAGGGAGATCCTTAGGATAAAACACTGTCAGTAAAAATATTTCTTAGATATTTTATAATAATTTCTTTGCTGTCCACATATACATAATTTTTTTGGTTTCACATTTTGATCAGTCAATTGAGTGAAACCTGTAACTGATTCCCAATTCATTTCTCCCATGATATGAATTGAAAAAGAATCTGTATTCAGGACACCCTTCTGACATGCATGGATGTATGCAGAAACCAAAATTTAGGTGCTTTATCTACATGGATTTTAATAAGGCAAGAGCTTTCAGACAGATTTACAAATCATTATACAGTGCATGTCATGTAAATTTTCACTTTTTGAATTGTTTATTCTAGCAATAAAGGGTTTTTCTGTTGGGATGAGAGCTCCCCATAATATGATTCAGTTCTACTTGGATTATATGAAGTAAATACACTAACATTTTTCTGGAGTCCATCTACAGCTTTATCTAAAGTTGTGTCTTTATCATCATAATGCTCAATTGCATCCTGGAAACCATCCTGCACAAAGCTTCTAGCCTTAAGACAGAAACAAAAAAAAGTGGATGTCACCTACTTGTTAATAAGTAGTCTCTTAAAAGCTAGACAGCAGTTATGTGTATTTCCCCTCTCTATTTGTTATATTATCAAGGAAAGAAAACAACTAACATACCTTGACACTCAATTTGAAACCACTCAATCAAAGATAAAGTTTAGGGTGTGATGTTGCTAAAATATAGGTTAAGGGTAGAGGAAAGGGTGAAGGGCGAAGATATAAGAGAGAAGGTACTCACTGGGGGTAAAGGTTGAAATCAGACAGTGAGGGGATTAAAAACTACAGCTGAGGGTTAGGGTGCAGTCGACAAATCTAAAGATGGGAAGATGACTTCTTTCCCCTTGTTCTAAAGTTAATATTTTTTAAAGCCTGGTTTGATCAGACACAAAGATTATTTGCTCCATCATATCACATAATATTGGACAATAGCATTCCACTACTATGTCGTTTTACCAAATTAAGTTATGATAAAACGCCAAATATGGTACTACCCTATAAATCACCTTGCTTAGCAATCTAAGCTTTGGTGTTTTTCACTCATTCATGCTGAAAGCAATGAATGAGGTATTGTGGTGAAGCAGATGTTGATGGAAGTTCTTAACCATGGACAGAAGTTGTATTCCGTGGATGAAAGTTGCACTGTGGACTATGAACGGAAGTAGTCTTGCATGCTACCCCTCCCCACTTAGTAAAAGCCTTAATTAATGTCAATGAAGCTCAGAAACTCGTGTGGAAAGAAATAAAATGTTTAAATGGTTTAATAAAAATCATAACCTCAAATCCCATTTCCAAATTTCTAAAAATGCAACTTGAATCAAGAAACTGAAATGTTCACATCTAGGGATCTGTAGCAGGTTCATTTCAACACACACTATGACCACGCAGAAGGGTATCAGAGGCAGCCATATTGTTAAGCCTCACATTTGCATTTATCTTCAGTTGGTCTAAAGTAATCGTTGCTCTATCATTGTGCTGGTTCTCAAGAGGTCCTCATCATACAGTCCACACATCAATCATTGCAGCCAAGATAGTCTCACTAAAAATTTTTTTAGAGCCCCAATATTTCAGTCTGGACTTGAAGCTTGCTCAAACAAAAACAGCAATACCAATCTGGTCAAAACAAAATGCAGACTGCAGACCAGGTACAAAATGCTGAATAGGTACAAAATGCAGACTGCAGACTGCAGACCAGGTACAGAATGCAGACTGAGAATTTATACAGTTTTTTCGTCTTATACATGATGACATTTCATCTTACAACTTACCAAGCGTCACACAATTGCTCATAATATAATTTCAAGGCATCATATAGTATTCTCACTTTGCGCGCGAGTTGGTTGGTGTGATGTCTATACAGAATTTACCAACTAAATGAAAGTAGATGTAGATGTAGATGTAAATGAGATGCCACTATTCAGAGGTGTACACACACTGATTTTCACATATGTGCCCTATATTGTTATTTCTATACAAGAGGAACTGGCAAGTTTTTCATAAATTTTTATAGGGAAAAGCAAAGCATTGCTTTCGTGACTGCCCAAAAATAAAAGAAAATGTATTCCAAAAGTCTTGAAAGTACACATAAACCAAATTCAACTGTACCTAAATTCAGCAAGTCCAGGAATCAATGCAAACTTAAGCCATAACATTAATGAGCTAGCTCCAAGAGTCCTTTGATTTGTTTTTTGTTTGAATTGTAAGAAATGAACTTTTCAGCACAACATATCTTGTTTTAGTTGATCATAAAGAACACTTTAATGGTTTTGTTTGTGTTGTTTCAAATTTGTCTTTTGCATACTCCTTATTCTATTAAGAAAATGCAAAGATAGAGCCAAAGGCTGTATTTTGCAACTACAATAAAAATATTAAAAAGTGAAATAATAGTGGAATAATGAATTCCTTTTGGATGGTTCAACATTTAATATGAGCAGACAATTTACTCAATGCTCTAATTTTTCCTTGCTCAAAATACTTCACAACCTGCCAAATATCCCTGCATATTATTTGTTAATCCATCAAATAAAATGTACAGAGCAGTTGGAATTAAAGAATGTATTACGTTGTTTCATATTTTTCTCTCAGACCTGATTGAGTTAGACTGTGGGTAAACAGATATCATCCATACTACTGAAACCTGCCATGTCAACTTCTTAAGTTTACAATTTTCATTATCTCCTAGCTAATGATTTACTTAGTGATCACTGTATTTGATATAAGATAGGGGAACTTTAGTTTCATTGTGACCAATAAATGTTTCACCTGACTCCTCATACTATTGTATGTTTTATAAAGGATACATATGTTATTATTACCAAAGACAACATGACCTTACATCAAAAAAATGTACCTTATCCTTGTCGATATATCCTAAGACACCTGCTGTAATCTCCAATGCAAACACAATGAGAAGTAGTGCAAAAAACTGCAAGGTAAAAGATCATACACTCACTGCATATCATAACATCCTTGTGTCTCTTATATATAATAATTTCTTAAAATTGGATTTTAATTTTTATAAACTTATTAGATTTTGCATAATAGTTCCAAATAAATAAGTTGTAAAATAAATCAAACACTTCTTGTCAGATGAAGGCCCCAAATTAAAATTCCCTGCCAGGAACAAAAGACCCTCTATGAAGTACGTATAGTGCTCTTGACATTGCTGATCTTAGCAATATGCAGAAAGCTGGCCAGATATAAAGCTAATATATAGCCTTGCTCAGCAAAAAGTTCTCTGTAATTCAGTTGGTGGGTATCTGGATATTAAGTTTGAAGCACTGTGGCAAAAATCAATGGTACATATCTACAAATCTATGTTCCACACATTACACATAATTAGCATCTTCCTTCATCAAAATTGAATATTTATTATCAAAATTATTACTATAATTATTTTGTTTTCTTGTAGATGCAGTTCAATCACATGTTAAGTTAATCAAGGTTTTACCGTGGACAGACAGCATTTGTTATCACGGCATGTTCCACAGCAACCAAACAAGGCAGTGATAAAGATCAGGACACCCACTCCAACTAGGATTCCACATGGTACCAAAGTGTACTCATCAGTTGTAATCTTTGTAATGTCGCCATACTTTTTAATTAGCCATACCGCTACAAAAATGATAGCACCAGATACACCCTAGAAAATATTACAATGTTGGTGAAATAATCATGTACATTAATTATCAACTAAGTCTACACGCATGGTTTGTACTCTTTTAATTTAAGTATGAAATTCCACGACTCTCCATGACTATTCCAAGAACATTTTTGCTGTTTTCTACGACTTCCAATCAAGATTTAAACACCGGAAAAAAGAACTTGGTTAATATCCATCCATCTTTATCTCACGCTTGGTCAATTACACAAACAGTAGATACAACTGGGCGCTCGGGTTCCATGCAAATAGGAATTAGCGTCAGGCATTCAGCCGTCTAATTACGAATAATTTTAAAGGCTCGTTGAGATAGGAATTATGTCTCAGTGTCTGTGATAGGCTATATCTATAAGAACTTTTTGACTAGTCAATCATCAGTCAATCAGTCCAGAAAAAGTACGAGCACTGAAAAATCATATCGCAAAAATTGGAGCCCTTTATGTTTCTTCGTATCGATTCAATTTGGAAAGAACGTCTAAATAATCTCACGAACGGTGAACGAACATGAAGGTTTTAATTATGCTTAGTTGCTTTAAGCTGTTCCTCGGGGTACTCACCAAGTAAATAAAGTTGAAAAAAAACAAGAAAGCCCTCGCACATTCCATCGTTAATCACGATAATACAGAACCTTCGAACGCGTCACAGGTTCACCACACTACGTCGATGCCTCAAATAGTACACAGGCAAATTAGGCATGGAAACTAGTGGATTTCAAAACGTCATCACCCGCTGAAATCAATTTTGTTCCCAGAGCTTTCTCGCTCCTTTCCTCAAAAGAATGTTAAAATCTAAACAGTTGGTAGTCTTGGTAGGATTGCTTACCGTAAGGGCCTGTTTACATGGAGGTGGGGGACCCCAGGTAGGTGAGGTAACCCGCCCAGCCGTGGTCGAAAAATAAAACGCGTTTACATGCAATCTTACAACCCCGGGGTGCTGGGGTGCTGGGGTGCTGGGGTGCTGGGGTGCTGGGGTGCTGGGGTGCTGGGGTGCTGGGGTGCTGGGGTGCTGGGGTGCTGGGGTGCTGGGGTGCTGGGGTGCTGGGGTGCTGGGGTGCTGGGGTGCTGGGGTGCTGGGGTGCTGGGGTGCTGGGGTGCTGGGGTGCTGGGGTGCTGGGGTGCTGGGGTGCTGGGGTGCTGGGGTGCTGGGGTGCTGGGGTGCTGGGGTGCTGCTGGGGTGCTGGGGTGCTGGGGTGCTGGGGTGCTGGGGTGCTGGGGTGCTGGGGTGCTGGGGTGCTGGGGTGCTGGGGTGCTCCGGTGATGGGGTGCTGGGGTGCTGGGGAGAGCGGGTGGTGGGGTGCTGGGGTGCTGGGGTGCTGGGGTGCTGCTGGGGTGCTGGGGTGCTGGGGTGCTGGGGTGCTGGGGTGCTGGGGTGCTGGGGTGCTGGGGTGCTGGGGTGCTGGGGTGCTGGGGTGCTGGGGTGCTGGGGTGCTGGGGTGCTGGGGTGCTGGGGTGCTGGGGTGCTGCGGTGCTGGGGTGCTGGGGTGCTGGGGTGCTGGGGTGCTGGGGTGCTGGGGTGCTGGGGTGCTGGGGTGCTGGGGTGCTGGGGTGCTGGGGTGCTGGGGTGCTGGGGTGCTGGGGTGCTGGGGTGCTGGGGTGCTGGGGTGCTGGGGTGCTGGGGTGCTGGGGTGCTGGGGTGCTGGGGTGCTGGGGTGCTGGGGTGCTGGGGTGCTGGGGTGCTGTTGCACTTGCAATTAAGGAGTTTGAGCAGAGGCGTCCCAAGCTCACATCTCGAAAAAGACGAGAGATTAATTCTTGGACACATATGTATTTATTCATTAAAGCGTCACGCGTTGCGTTATGCGGTGTTTGGTTTCGCGAATAACCGTTGACTTAATACGTTATACAGGTTACCTCACCTACCCGTGGTCCCCCACCTCCATGTAAACAGCCCCTAAGAATCCATCTCAAAAAATGACTGTGAAATCCGATCCTCAAAAGTCTGCGTACTTTCATTTGTAACATTCTCTCATGAGAGTATATGCGTAAGGTGGTGGATTGTGAACAAAATAGCTGCACCCTGAGACGAAATACTCCAGGTTTCGTTCATAGGTTTGATTTTCAAAGAGGAAATAAAATAAACCGAAGGATCTTAAATCGCTCACTTACATACATGCAGTAACGAAGACGGCAGATTTGACGAAATTTCGTCAAACCGAGTAAAAGTGCGTATGTCAAGTGAGGAAATGTGCTACTTCGATTTCTTTTTTGGCGCCGGCGTCACATAAGTATTTTAAGTGATACATTTGACCACGGTTGAGCACCAGTGGACAATCATATACAAGAAACTGGGCTCGGATGAACTTTAAAATGAAAGCCTCATGGTATACCATGACCTGAGTTATTTTTTGTCAAGTTCTTTTCCATGGTAGAATCAATCAGATCAAGACCTCGGGCACAGTTTCACCCAATACGGACCGACCTTAGCTGGTGAATAACATTTTTATTTTTTTCTGAAACTTAACAAATGGTCGCGAAAAGAACCTGAATGATAAAGGGCTGTAATTACGGCAAGATTCTCCATAAAATTTATGAGCGAGTAGATGGTAGAGAAAACAAGGGCAAAGGAAATGAAAGAGAGAGGTTTCATCAAAACATATTTATTTGCGTAATGATATTAAAAGGTGATTTAAAAGGCTTCCAAGAAAACTTCGAAACACTGCTGTAATCTCATCACGCAAAGGATCGGATACCGCCCGCTGTGAGCTGGCCGGATGGGGAGAATACTGCCCGCTCTCGGAACCAATCAGATTGCAGGATTTGTAGAAAAACGCCCGCTCACGAACTGAGAAAAAAATAATTGACTGAACTGCGCTTAGATGTCAAATGCCAAACAGCTTGCAGTTGAATTGAGAACTTTTCAGTGCTTACAAAAATCACACAACCTTGAAAGGTTTGGTTGATATTTCTCCCGGTGGAATCACTCCTCTAGTAGATTTGTACCTTCCCTTAAAAGATTCGGGCATTGTATCGATTACTTTTCTGCTGGGCCAAATGTTTATTTGTCCAAACTTAAAGAACATAAAATTGACCCGTGTGATAAATATTCTACTTGCTGTGGATGCTGATACATTAAATAATTGAGCTAGATGGTCCTCTGGGAATCCTTGCCTTAGTCTGCACATGACTAAAAAAAATTCATCGAGGGACCTTAAAGACCTAGCTCTCCCCTTTTTTTTTAGTAGTCTGCCCTCACTGTAATCAGACTCAGTGTTGTTGTCAGTTTTTGACTGCCAGTAGGAAATGATCAAGATACTCAAAAACAGCCATTAAAGTGTCCCAGCTTTGAAAGCCAGTATAAAGAGCAGCATTGGAATCTTTTGACTTACAGTTTTCAAAGTTAAACAATCTTTTATTAAGAGCACCACGTTACCGCTGGGTATCTTGCAATTGGCGTTGAAGTTCCTCAATTTCCTGTTCAAGTTTATGAATCTTCTTGTTATTGTTGTCAATAATTTCTCTAAAGTAAGCCTGGTGTTTCGTCTTCGACTTTTAAGCTACAATCTGGTAGATCTGGGACCATTTCGTTTGATAATTCGTTTGACGATTCGTTTGATAATTCTTCAAGAACAACAGCTGGGGTAAAAAATTTTCGAGATGCACTTTTCGAAGCTGTCAATTCGCAGTTTCTTTCCGCCGGCTCCTTTCCTTTGCGTGGCGATGTTCGAATCCATGAAAACACATAAAGGGACAACTCCATCTCTTGATTCATTTTTGCCCACGAGACATTTGTAATATCACCTTTCCTGAAATGTTGGGAGCATATCTTTGTATTTTCAGTTACCTTGAAGTGCTTTCCTTCGTCTCCTCTTATCGCGTGGAGGCATTTCTTCTTAACGGGTTCTCGGTCGGAAATTAATTTTTTACCCGGGTCTCTCGGTTTTTTTTTACCACACACATAGTAGTCGAGCTGATATCAGATTGTCACTCATTCATATCACTACAATGTTTGCACAAGTAGTGAAAATGTTAAGGGAAATTTCATTTTCATCAATGTTAATCACACAATAATATTGTACTTACAGCTCATCATCTTTGCAGCAGACATCCAAGTGCTGCCTGACATGAGTTACTGGAATCTCTAGGCTACAGTTAATACAAGCAACCTTTGGAACATCCCCAGCATCCTGCTTGACAAACACATTACATATAGTAGTAAAGCTGATATCAGATTGTCACTTACAAAAATGTTTCGAAAGTTACCAACAAGTGGCTCTAAGTGTTAAGTTTGCAGGAAAATAAAACAAAACAGAAACACCTTAGGGAGAGTTTGCTAGAGTGACTTGAGTTATTTATTGACAAGTGTAACTATGCAGCTGCACTATTGTTTCCAGTCTCTACAACAATGGCTACACTTAGATATTACACTTGTAAAAGTTTTATTAAATTGACCCCTGTACTCTCTTTAAAATAGTGCAAATTCGGAGGAAACATTGTCAACCAACATGGCATCTTGTCACGTGATTGCAAACCAAAAATAAACCTACAAATATCTCCTTCATTTTTGGAGTTAAAAGGGATCTTGGTTCAGATTGCACTGTACAGGTCTTATGTAGGCGATTGATTGTCCCAATCTCGCACAGTGGCGTAAAAAGTGCGTGTACAGTGTATCCTGAATTTGGAGGGGGAATAATGCTTAACTCAGAAGGGCTCAGACCTCGTTGTAGTATTTCAAACCCTCCACCATCAATTAACTTAGGGTAGCTTTCTTCTAGCTTCGTCTTGACTTCCGTTGCGTTAGCCTTGCTGTTGAAGCGAATTTTTTTGCGGCCTAGACCAGCCTGTTGCAACTGGATTTGATGATTTGATTGATGATGATTGATGATGATTTGCTACAGACTGCCATCTGCCCTTTATCTGCTAGACAAAATAATTCGTGAGTCCATGTATCTCGTTTGAAGAACACTACTGTCGTGTTCCGTTTCTTTCATTTAGTAGCTGGAGCTGACGACGCCGATTGCTGCCTACTGCTGCTTGAGAAACTGGTTGACCTTGCGCAAGCCGTGTACGGCTGAAATAAATTTCGAAAATTTTCCAGTACTCGTCCGTTGGTTTCCCGTCCGTTCACTACACCGTACCTTGGAGAACCATTCTCGGGACCCTGGGATGCGTGTTCCCTAATAAGACGGGTCGCCTCTTCTAATAATTATAAATTCACCGCTCTTTCACGAAGAGCCGCCATGTTTCCAACCAAGACAGGGCGACAGAGAGGAAATAAACTAACATAATTATAATTTTGGTGGGAAATAATTTATCTTGTCCAAAACTCGTCTCTGAGTGTCATGCCGAACTACATGTTACCTTAACAAAACACTATAATGAAACGCACGCTATGAAGATGACAAATCACAACAGCAAAACTGCTTTTTCCAATGTCGAAATTGAAGAATACTAGAATGCAATTGCAAAATAGCCGAACTCCAAGGTAGAGTGACAAATCAGCACATTGCAAAAGCAAAATAGTCAAATGTTATAGCATAATATCATAAGACGAGGACCAAATAGCATATTAAGACGTCACATTGGAATAGCACAATTGCATATCTCAATGTCATAACTGAAATTGTGGATATCATAATTAAACATTTATTTTTGACGTTAATTACACCCGATAATATTCAACCTTTGTTAACAGTGTTGTCCTCAAGCGTGGCCTTTCTGACCTCGGTTTCATGTTTAAGTA